TAGTCGATCTGGTTGTAAATACAGTGATTCGTCCGGCGCTGACTCCATGTTGTTTTGTGGCGGGCTCGCTTTTGAAAACCTGTGTTAGTGGCAAAGAGAAGGTGAGTAGAACAGAAGTCAGCTAGTGCGTGGCCGTTTCGGTTGCGTATGCCTCGTGCATGTGGTCCCATGAATGCCTCTCCGTTGATCTGTTGTCCGAGCTTGGCGTTGAAGTCGCCAGTCACGAACACGATGTTGCGCCTTGGTAGTTGGTCAAGTGTGTCGCTGAGATCAGCGTAGAATCGATCAACTTCGGCGAGAGGCCGACCGCTGTGGGGAGCATACGCCGTGACGATGTTCACGGGGCCTGCGTGGGGGAGTAAGACCTGAACGACGCCGATTCGATCGCAGTGTGCCCAATAGCAGTGTAAGTAGGGGCGGACGCGGGGGGAGATGGCAAAGCTGATCCCGTGGCGCTCCTGTACGGCTGGTAGTGTGAGTAGCGTGTAGTCTCCGATACGTTTCTTGTCGAGGGTGCAGATGCGTGTTTCTTGGATGCCGAGAACGTCGATGCCGTAGCGCCGGAGGTCCTGGGGGAGCGTGTCCTGCTGCTTGCGGGTCGAACCTAACGACTGGACATTAAACGAACCTATCCTAAAACGGTTAGTTTGATGCGCGCGGCGAGGAGAGCGCATAAAGAGGGTGGGAGGTGTAGTTGTCGCTAGTGCTGCCGGCTTGGGGGCGAAGGAAAGACCCGCTAGGGACGTACAGATGCCCGAGAGCACCTGCCGGAAGCGCGTAGCTAGCATCATGCTGGCCACGCGTTCCGGGGGGGGGGGGGGTCACCCCAACCCCAACCAAAAAAATATAAATATACTGCTCTTCAATTTGAGGCATTTCTACAGAAGAAATAAACCACTTTCTGTGCGTCATATGATTACAGAGTCGTTTAGAAACACTTTTTGGGGTGTTGCTTTAGAAAACTTTGCATGGTGGATGCTTAAACAACCTACCGGTAGTAATACGTGAGCGAGATATATCTGGATCTTGCTATATATCGTTAATCTGGTGTAGTGGATTCCATGGTATCACCGCAGTTGAGGGCTCGATAGCATGTCGCGGCGGTGACCCACGCCAGCCACAGGTAATGGGTTCACCGCATCATGACCAGTCAAGCTTCACACAGACACACTTCATAGTGTGTGCACCTGATATGAGGTTACAGACTAAGCATTTTGTATGATCAACTGCTTCGCGGACCCACTTCGCTTTTTCTCCTACAATTGCCTCAAAAGGCGTACACACTATATCAAAAAATAAAGCTCAAGTCCCTAGTGGATTGCCATCCGCTGCCGCCCCCTGATGTGATGTTCTCGGCGGGATTCACTACATCTGGACGTCATTGATGTTCTGACTTGCGTACATATTGGTTTCTAAAGATGTTGATTGCCCATTATGGCTTTCACTGCACCTTAATCGTTGCGTATGTAGACCTAACTATCATTTTATAACGTACTTTGCTATGTTTGGCGCCCGTGAAACCTTTTTTCATATTAATTGTCAATAATTGGTACAATACTGTATTGTATTGGAATCGTTGATCTCCAATAATATAAATTTGTATTGCAAACCTCAATTATTTATTGGATCGCAATTATTATTTCGGATCTCTGCTGCAAACATTGTGTGCGTCACAAGGTTTTCGGTTCATGTTCTTAGTTTAATATATCGGATCCCATCGGTACTCAGTTCTTTCAAGTCTCTTACCGCGGCAACTCTGCTCGTTTGTGAAGGGGGGAAACATGTCGACGCATAGTTAAGTAGGCTACGGCCTTCGTCGTGGTGTCTGCTTCCTTCACATCGACTGGGGCCTTACCCAACGAGAGCCTCTCGGTACACTTCGGAATAATATTGTAATCGATAGAAGCGAATAAATACTACTGTAGTATTACTATTTGCCAAATCACTGAATCAGTAGTTTCAAGCTATCACAATCATTTTGTCAAATCTCAGTGAAAATCACTGATTTATGGAAATTCATCAGCTTAGACTGCTCTCGCGTAAGTAGCAAATTGCCTGAACTCGCGCCAAACTGTGCTACCAACGTTTCGTCTCAGGTTGCTCGACATCTCACAGCACTTCGACTCGTTAACCATCCCTCTCGAATCGACGTGTGTGATTTATTTTCCTTGTTCCTACGACGGATTTTCATTGCTGTGACCTACTTCTGGAGGACTTGTATATCATCTAGCTGCGATAGTTCTTAAAGAAGAGGTATTATCCGATAATACAGTCAAACCTGTTTATATGAGGCCCTGTTGGTGACCATCTACTACAATGACTCATATAAAATGGACTCAGTTAAAAAAAATTATGTGGTGCACGTAAAGAAATCGTGCATAGTTCGCTGCCGCTTTGCCTTCACCGTAGTCTCTCGAACCAAAGCGGTCACGGTCTGTAAAGCTCTTCGTTCTCTGTCAGTCTGCTCTCCGCATTGCAGCAGAAATGCAGCCAGCTCCATGCAGTGTCTCAGAGCAATGGCAGGTTGAACTGCGGGTTCCTGTTCTTCCTCTTCCTCCTGCTCGTCCTGCGAAACTGCATCACTTCCTGCCGCTTCGTCCACGAGCACATTTGGCTCGTGCACAGGAACGTCTTCGTCCACTGCCAGATACTCACTAGCGCTAGCAGCGCCCTCCCACCTGGATAGCATCGCCGTTAACTCCTCCATCTCGTTGCTGGATACCTCCTCAATGTATTCCGTGTCAGCACGGATCCTTCCTAGCATCTTTCCTCCCAAAATGCGAGTCTTGACCCAGCAATTTGTAATTGTCGTTGGCGTCACACCCGCCCAAGCATCAATGGAAAATTGGACAGCTTCCAGTACGTTGAGCTTGCGTGTAATGTTAGCTTCAAGTGCATCCAAACACTACCGCACAAAATACTTTCGGTACCGAGCCTTGAACGACCGGATAATACCTGAATAAAAAAAACACCGCAATAGAGTTGGTTAGTTTAGGCTACACCACAATATAGATTAAATATTTACCTGCAGCCAGCGGCTGTACGGCGGATGTCATGTTAGGGGGGAGGAAGTGAACAGTCACATGAGTCAGGTTTCGTAGAATCTTGTGGCATGAAGCATTGTCGACTACAAGTAGGACCTTGCGATTAGCGGCCGCCATTCTCATGTTGAAGAGGTGCAGCCATTCGTCAAAAATGACGGATGTCATCCAGGCGTTCTTGGAGGACTTTTACAATATAGGTTTACCTTTAATCGCCGCTCCCTTTTTAAAGCACCTCGGGTTCTTGGCCGTACCGATGACTATTGGGTCGAGCTTGTCGGAGCCAGTCGCGTTGCAGCAGAAGGCCAAAGTCAAACGTTGCTTCTCCTTTTTCTTGCCCTTGCGAATAGTCGTAGCTAGCGTTCGATTAGGCGCTGAGCGATAGAAAAGCGCCGTTTCGTCGAAGTTGAACACATTCTCGGGTGTAAACTGCGCCACCAACTCTTGTAGCTCTAGCCTCGCATCTCGCACTTCATCAGCTTCTACAGCGCCACCTTCGCCGTGTAGCGTATGGGAGCGGATCCCATTGCGCTTCTTAAAGCTTTGAAGCCAGCCGTTGCTTAGCCGGAGCTGCGTGGTATCGATGCCTAAGCGCTCCGCCAGCTCATGCGCCTTCAGCAGGAGCACGTCGTCCGCCCTCGCCGTTTTAGCTTCGTTCTGAAAGAAAAATTCCCTCAGTTCGAGCGGGAACTGAGGGAATTTCACTCGGCGCCGCTTGGTCGCACTCAGGTCGACGTGGCTGAATTAGGAAGAAGGCAGGTTGCGCAGTCGGGCGAGTGTGGCACGGCTGACCCGGGCCTTGAAAGTTGCGTAGATCCACTCGGCGAGCATGGGGTTGTTCATGCCAGGATTCTGCTTGAGCTTTAGGTGCACTTGGAGCTTTTGTTCTAGCGTCAGACAGGTGCGAGGAGACATGGCGAGTGTTGAGCAGTGGTGCTTTGAAGAGTGTGTGGTGTGAATCAAATAAACAGGTGAGACCTAATTTGGTCCCCAAAAATGTGACTCATATACCTTGTATGCATATAAACAGAGATCATACAAAAACTAAGTGAAATATTTGGTAGCGACAAAGCCTGCATCAAATAAACGGCATGGCCCAAATAGAGAGGATCATATAAACAGGTTTGACTGTAACCAGTAAAAAGAAAAGCAGGCCAAATCCTAGGACAACGAACCACACGGTGATCATATGGCTTTGTGGAGTGACTTATGCCAGACTTACAGTTCGTTTCCGCGAAGTCCATCGATTGCCATTCCCAAATTTGCCTCGTCGGCCCTCGCATTCAAGCCAACTGTTGTGGTTTAGAATAAGTACCAACGTTTGACATACCGATCGGAGTTTCTAATCTCGGATAGAAATAGATGCATGAAGTACAAGAACTTGACTTTCTAAAGTATAATAAGGATAAGTGAGTTTACTGAGCTCCACCAGTTTACTAGGGCTGTAGGAAAAGAGAACCCAACCGGATGAAGAACTGGAGTCGGCCCCACTTTCAAATTGGCCCTCCGTCTGACGGTCTACAACTACAACTACGCTCAAGACAACAACACCAACCTTATCGCCAAGAATGAGATCGCTCAAGACCCTCTTCACAGTCGCTGCCGTCCTCTTCCTTGGTGTTACCAGTGCGGTCTCCACTACCAAGAACCCCAACCACGCGCTGGTCTTGAATGTTCAATCTGAAGACATTGCTTACGACCAAGGACATGCGGAGACCCCATCGTCATGCCTTTCTCTGGCAGGACAGATCTTCGAATCGCACAAGTCGAAGATCTGCTCACACAGTGCGAATACATCATGTATAGAATCCGGTCCGTCGGACGTACGCTCGTGATCAGGTGTTGTCATGTGTACCGGTACACCATTTCAAGGTCAAATTGAGAGAAGTCAAAATCAATAGCGGCCAAAATCAAAACAATAAAACCTCTACCCTCTTATACTCGAAAAAACTAATAACCTTAAAAATTACTAGTTTCATCTACAAGCATGTCGTGCTCATCCAATGCAGCGGCGTGAAAAGATAAGGTGTGGGCAGCTTCACTATCACACAAGTCCGGTGTCACCTTGACACACATACTGTACTTGGCTGCGCGTAGGAGGTAGTGAGCACGGTGTACTGCTTTCGTCTGATTCGGCGGGACTTGTAGGATCTCGTCGCGCTTCGCTGCGAGGAACGCCCTCACCCCAGACTTGAAGACGGAGAAGACGTTTTCAATGGGGTTTAACATGGGGGAGTACGGGGAGAGGTTGATGAACTCCACCTCCGCGTACTCCGCCCGCCTTGTTATCTCCTCGACGTTCGTGTGGATGGACGCATTGTCGCACACAACGGCGACGTCGAACATGGAGACGCCCTTGTCCATCAGTTTGTCGAGCAGTGTCATCACGAAGCTGTCGATCGCGTCCGCGTTGTTCGTTCCCCACCGAAACTCAGCTCCTTCCAGCCCTTGTGCCGAGATGCACGCAATGACGCTGAGATTGCCGCCTTTAAGCCCCGGGCGGACGACGACCGCACGGCTTCCGCGGCGGCTCCAGCCGCACGTCCTCGAGCAAAACAAATTGAAAATCGTTTCATCGAAGTAGAGAATCCTTTTGCGCTTGGACTGAGCCTTCATGATCTTGAGGACGTACTCACGGCGTAGAGCCTTGACCCGATCGGAGTTCATTGCGCTTGGTTCGGCGTAGATTTTCTTGACGGAGAAGCAGACTGCGTCGAGTGCACTGCGCACAGTATGAACGGAGACGTCAACGCCGTAGAAAACTTTTAGCTCATCGATCATGTAATTTAAGGTTAGCAGACAATTATTTTCTAGCAGGGCAACTAGAAAGTTGGTGCGCTCCGGCGTCATCTTGACGTGCCGAGCACCGCCACGCTTCGACGGCACAGCAGTCCACACGTTTGTGTTGCGCGCTGTAGCTACCCAGCGTGCAGTCGTAGATACACGATGTCGTTGAGCCTTGCAACAAGAGCCCAGTCTTCGTGGTTCTTCGCGGCGGTGAGGACACGCTGGCGTTCGTCGAGTGTGTAGCTTCCGTAGACCATCGCAAAAAGCGGAATGAGCGCTGTGGCTGTAGCGAGCGAGGTGTGTGAGCGCGATCGGTGGTTGATGGCCGAGAGCAACCGAGATCGAACGATTTGCGCGCGCGCGCGTAAACGACCTGTCTAAGATGGCGATAGAGGCTTTATCAAATTGGAAAGGGATTATCATTTTGATTTTGGCGGCTCTCAATTTGAATCACGATTTCTCTCAATTTGACCTTGAAATGGTGTACCACGTTATAGCACTTACGTTAGCATGTATTGTGGCTTGCAGGGATTTTGCCCTCTCATTTACAACTTTATATCAGACCCCGATTTATATAAATTGGAGCTGGGGGGGTCTGAAATAGGTATCGAACATTCAAAGCACATAGTGAAGTCAAATAAAGCATGCTCTACACTGTTCAATGTCCATCTACTCTAACTAGTAGGTGCAGAGATAGCTTAGGTGACAGCCCAGCGAGCGGGTTGTTTACTTGTTCGTTCTGCTTTCTTAGCTGAAAGAATCGACGCGGTGTATGTTGCCATGGCACTACTCTTCCGTAAAAGGCACGCCGCCGTGCATGCACCCCCGATTGTAGTGGATTTGCCACAGCTGACCTGAGATAATCACTGCCCCTCAGAATTGCAACATTAAAGCGGCAATTCGAGTAGCTGCTAACAAATCGGAATGGCGATCCCATCAAATCGGACCACTTTAACAAATCGGACCCGATATATCGGATATATGAGGCCCTGATTTGCCAAAATCGCTGCAAGCCACAATACCAAGCGCTACGTTTTCAATGTCGACATACAGAGCACCCAGCGAATACACTCCGACCGAATTTGCTAGCTACGAACTGAAGAGCGAGTGTAGGAGCCAATCGAGCGGATGTACGGCGACTTAAATGGTATTGCACATTTTATCAGCCTAGAATGGTGAACGTTGATTCGTGATGCACATCACAGCTGCCTCCATGCCGACTCTCTCGGATTGCCTGCGGATTCATCTGGGATCGGTTTAAAACATTGTGGCCGCGATAACCAAATCTATTAATACAGACGATCCTCTCCGTAGTAATAGCCTCGGGAGACCACTTTTTATCACAATCCAGAGGCATCACTATCTAAATCTGTACCACAATGACGGTACAATGTCGTTTCAAGGTACCAGTGTAGTGATAATGCGTACTGGGAACTTGTATTGCACTCGATACGTGGTTAAAGCATTATATAAAAGTATTTGTTGTGGTGGATGCTATAATATTTACTAATATATGGCACTAAGCGTGTCGATACGCTATCCACTATTCAAATGGAACTGGAGTACTGCACAGGCTGCTACAACGCGAAATCTAGTCTAGCGCCGTTCCAGAATCACAAACATGTCAAACTTGATAATATGCGCGTGAACCCAGAGGATCTGAGTCCATTCATGGTCGTGGAAATTGCCTGGCATGCTTTACGAAATGGACCTTTACATAGTTAACGGTCTCTGGATAGTGATAAAGCTTAATCTCGTATCACTAAACACTACCCGGAGGTTAGAGGATGTTTTGACTTGAATTTGTATACCATTAGAACCTTTATTAGTGCTAATCAGAGGGTATCCCTATTCGGGATATCACTCCAAAGAGGATTGTCTGTATCAGCCTCGCAATGGTAGAATCGTCCTACTAGGACGTGTTGTGTATTTGAGATAATTATGTAAAAGGGTATGCACGAGCGAACCATCTGTAACTTCCTCGGTCCCTGGAAGCCTGCTTTTTGGCTGCGTCGAGTTGCTGCTATTGTCCCGACCAGAATTGAAGGGCCCGGAAATTGTAACACCTCCATATTCATAGCAATTGCGAGCGATTGCCTGCTCCGTTTGAAGCAAGTGGAGGCTCAAAATACTCACAGAAACCAAACGGAGCGGAGGCATGCAGGCACCTCCGCCACCAATCTCGCTGCTGAATAGTGACTACAAAGTGCTCATGAAAATATACGCACAACGGATGCGTAAGTGCGTAGCAGACCTGGTCCACCCAACTCAGAATGGTTTTGTTACAGGCCGTATAATGCACACGGCTGTTGACCTGCTGGAGGCTGCGAAGAAAGCGGAATCCTCACGAAGCGATCGGCGGAGAGCACAGGCGCTATTGCTGGATTTTGAGAAGGCTTATGACTCAATCGATCGGGACTTCATGTTTGCAGTGCTGGAGGCGAAAGGCTGCCCACCGCAGATGATGACGATGATCAAGAAATTACACTACAACACGACAGCACAATTTCTCGCTAATGGTTTCCCATCGAAGCCAGTTCAAGCTACAAGCGGGATACGACAAGGATGTCCGTTAGCCCCGATTCTTTTCATTATCACGATAGATATCATGTATGACATGGTGGTGGAGTGCCCAGACTTCGACGGAATTTCTCTGACGGGAGCCGATGGAATCACGAATTTGAAGGTAGCCGGTTATGCAGATGACACCGCAGTCTACATCGAGGATTCGAGTAAGCAGCATGTAGTGTTGGAGGTAGTCGAACGTTTCTCGCATTTCTCAGGGCTTCCGGTAAATATCGGGAAATCAGAGGCTTTTCCTCTTGGAGGTGGAGAGGAGGACGATCCAAGCGAAGGATTTCCAATTCCGACAGAGAAGGAGACTAGATACTTAGGACACTTGGCAGATTGTGCTGGAAGTGTGCAGACTGCATGGAACAAAGCGCTCAAAAGCCTCACGACTCGGTTAGCATTGACTACAACTAAAACTAATTCGGTCTTCCAGCGAGCTGAGTTGGCGAAAGCGATTATCTTACCGAAGCTTACGTTCGTCGCGCGACACGCTTGGTCTACACAGGACCTGTTCAAGGAAGCGACGGCAAGACTAAAAAATTTCGTGTGGAAGAGCTCGTTCGCGGTACCTAACGGAATAATTCGAGGGTGGATGACCAGCCAGACTGCTGAGCTGTCGCCACATGAAGGGGGTGTTCCATGCCTAACCTGCATACCGACCTTCTTGCGCTAAGCGCTAAAACTATGGAGTCGTGGGCTCTGACAACTGACGCCAGGTCTAAGCGCGCGGGTGACATTCTCCGAGCGATACATGGGGAAAATGCTCCTAGCTTCATAGTGCCCAAACCTGATGCTATCCCCTCCTACCAGTTGGAAGAGGCAATTCTCGGTACTGGCGAAAAATGGTTCCGATACGCATGTACCTCATCCACTTCCGAATCTATACAGCTTGCGAGGGAGAACATTCGAAGTCAATGCAGACTTTGCAATGGTGTGCGTACCCAGTGGCGCAACGGTGGACTCGAATACAATATGATGTCGTTACTAGAGGGCCCAGTGCGCAGGCTGGAACTACTGCTGGAGCGAGAGCATGGAGCGTTCGTTGTTGACGGCCTGCTAGACACCAGAGTGTACGACTTATGCATTTTATCGAGGGGAAACAGGAGAGCGAGCAAGGTGTCCAATCAAATAGCGGACGCGAACACAACTGTAAGAGATATAGCGGTATCTCCGTGGGTGAAGACAGGGATGGTGCAGTGGAGTTCTCCCAAGTACGGCTACCCGATGGCGTCGCACCAGACCAGGCCACTCAGTTCCGTGAACTAGCGCTCCAACTCCTCTCTTCCTACCCGAAACTACTTACAGAGCAGCCGGCACCACACAGGATGTTCATTCAGCACGATGCCAAGGCCAAGGTTAATTTTGAGCTTACGCTATTACCGGCGGTGGTAATGCAGACGCAGTGCGCAAAGGGAGAACAAGTGCCCATTGAGCCAGGATGTGAAGTACTGGAGAGTGCGGTGGCGAAAGCAATAGGTGGTTCCTCCCAGCGAACATGGTGTACGCCCCATAAGTGGTTGACCAGGCTGTCTCCGACGGGGGCTGGACACCGACGATGGGCGCAAACAACTAAACAGTACAAAACTAAAATATCAGCCAAACGAGCTGGAATCGGGAGATCCGCAGTCACAAGAGCGCAGCAGAAGCTTTTATCGGAGAACCCAGAAGTGGGAAGCGCCCTGCAAAGACTAACCTGGGACAGCATCCGACACATTGTGAGGACGTCAACCTATGATCAACAAGCTCTACATCGACTCAAGCTTCATCGTTGCGGCGGGTGGAATGACAACACGAAATCCAGAAAGTGCCCGCACGACGAATGTACTGGAGACAACAGCACACCGTCGCACATCTTCTGGAACTGCCCAGTAGCGCAGTCCATTTGGAACAATTTTCTTGGGGGCTGGAGGACAGCGCATGGAGGCGCGGATATTGGTACCGGCTCAGAAATTTTCTCACTGGAGCTGAAGCTGCCACCCGAGAATCTAAGAGCGTACGTAGAGAGGCACGCGAAAACAGGGAAGCATCTGTGTCCAGCGGCAGTCGAAGTGCTTGGTGCTGTCGCTGACATGTACTGGAAGGCGGAAGTCACCGCAACGATCGTCCTACTCTGGTGATTAAGAATAACGGCACTGCACCCCAAGCCAGGCCAAAACCTCGGCAATGCACTCATGCTAGCGCAGCACAAGTCGAAACTACGACGGACTTATCGACAAGTCGCTCTGCTGACGCCGGACACGTATGCGGAGTGGCAAGTCTCGCCATACATTCACGGTGAACTGCTCAAAGAAGCGTCGCAGTGCCCCGTGCACGCGGTGGCATGTGGTGGGCTTCTTTCATGGATACAAAGGAATTCCACATGCAGGGGCGCGTGCCGAACTAACCCGTCATGGCCTACTAAGTGGAAGCCTGTGGGGAACAAGTTTCTCACTCCCATCGTCATCATGCACTCACAATATTGCTGCTTTTGTCGCCCTTTATCATCTGCTCAGCGCTGCAGACACACGCGGACTCAGAGGCATCCATGTCGCTGGGGACAACGAGCTGACCCTGCGAGTACTTAAAACTCGAGCGTCACCAAAAGCAAGACGACTACAAATGTGGTTTCTCAAGTGCAGACGTACCGCGGACAAAGTGCGAGTCGCGCCATGGACACTCTTGAGCAAGTCGGGGAACGCTGCAGCAAGCAGCCTGACCTTGACAGTAACGGAGGAAGAGCTGACGCACGACCTCGAACCAGAGGCAATTCAGGCAAAAAAAATACATATCGACACACTAGTGTCGCGATGTATGCTTGAGTGGTCTAACACGCACACAGATGCAACAGAGGCGCTAATAGATCAGCGCCTACAAGGAATAGTGGAGAGGAAGCGACCGAGGGTTAAACCACGGCAGTAGGGTGCGGCACCGCGGTGTAGCCCGAGTAATCTTGTGCTTCGTAGTTTGAGGAGATCATGGTTGGTGTAAAGAAGAAGAGCTTCGCGAACAAATCATCTTACGACAAGTGGAAAGAGTTTCAATTAGTTAAAGCCTTCACGATGAATAGTTAAAACTGTCTAACTCCATAAACATGTTGAGACTCACTAAACAAACGGTTTGCAAACACTAATGCTAGCTATAAAGTAAGTATTTGTGCGAACCCTAGTTGCTGCAGTGGATATGACACTGCAGCAACGGTCAGATTCTGAGGTTCGAGCCATAGGTCTCCGGCTCCGACTTCGTGCCGAAAGGATCTCACCCCAGTCAGTATGACTGCAGATATATCAAGATTTTTGTGACCGATCACCTTAAACGTTTTGGGTAACAGCTCACCACTTCAATCGAAATTAGGGCTAACATGATTCAACAACAGTAGTGAAGGTGACTTAAAATGACAGTTTGTGCAAAAGGTGATACAAGGATTTATTTTTTTGTGCCGAGGGCACACACTTCCCAGGTTCAGCATCATTCGACACGGCATTGATTCGCAAGATTGTTGCCTCCAGTGGCGACGTGGGAAGTAAACCACCCATACCGTCGGCGATGCTTCATGCAGCGTGGGCAGTGTCGCTCAAGCGACATTGAGGGCGACCTCACCGAGGCTGTATAACTATTAGCAGAGGGTGATGCCTATCAGCCACGCGTATGACATTCGCGGGCTGCCTGCTATCGATGGCCAAATGCACTTGGCACAAATTCATGTTGTATCACCTTTCCCCACTTCCCCCCTATTTTAAATAATTCGTATTTCTCAATTTTGTGTAGCCAGAACGGAATTTTCCCTAAAACAAATTATGGGTAAAAAGGGCCGGTGGATACTCCAAGTAGTTGTCGTGATAGAACTACAGTCCTCTAATTTAATTTCTTGGGAGTATCCATCGGTATTTTGTTTGCAATTATATCGACTAATTTACATAGGTAATCCAGCCTAAGTGAGCCAGCGTTGCCTATTTTTATTGGCAATACTGACATTACAAAAGAGAACTGAAGCTCAAAATTTTACGAGATAACTATAATTCCTGGGAGGGCTGTAAATTACGATCCAGTAAGTTTTTTTGCTGCACATACCGATCAATTGCGCCCCGTTGCACGTCCTGAAGCTTAACTCGTTTTTATCTGTATATTGTCTGTGATCAATTACGCATACCGTACAATTCAATCTGTTAAAATGTTCATATGCCTTTTTCGGTGAGACTATTTACAGCTCGTTTACCATTGTTTGATTGGTATGAATGCTTGTCCGCCTCAATGGTTTCATCGCACCTTTGGTGTTATTTTTTTTCGTCTATAAACAGAAACCCACTCTTTTCCCGTGTGAAGTACGGTGTTGGCCAACGTCGCTGATATCAATAGCCACTGCAAATTGAGCAGAAGTCCGCGAAGCTTCTCCGGGATTGAACTGCATCGACAAGGAATACCAAATATATGTGTTGAAGGTAGATCAATACGTTTGTTACCGTTTACCAAGTGGGATGTAGCAACCAGTAGCCAAAGCGGTCGCTCTTGACAATGGTTATCTCTCCACTTCGGTCAGAAAGTCATTTTTCAACTCGCTTCGTCGGCCAGACACACAGCATCCAACCAACCACCACTCCCAGCTTCGGCTACCCCAACCTTCCAACAACCATGGTGTACTCTCGCAGCGCTCCCACCCGTGCCTACATCAAAGCTGTCGCTCTTAGCGCACTGAGCTTCGCTGCGTTGCCCCTATCAGCGGCCCAGGATGGCACCACTGCGACCACGTGTGAGATTTCCGACGATCTTAAAAGCAACGGCATCCGCGTCGTCGACGGCCCCGGCTGCGCCAACGGCGGGCTCGGCTGCTACAACGACCACTGCCGCTACTGCAAGCTCATCGACACGCCCAAGTCGACGCAGTTCGAGAGCTGCTCGTCCTTCGGAGCCAACTTCCCGTCCATGGCACCGCCAGTGGTCACCACCGGGGCCTGTGAGATTTCCCAGGGTGACGCTGCTGCGGGCATCGCTGCGGTGGTCGACGCGGACTGTTTGTACGGAGGCCTTGGCTGCTTCAACGACCACTGTCGGTTCTGTAAGGCGCAGGAGACAACGGCATCGGCGTCGTTCTCGAACTGCGCAGACTTTGATGCATCTACTATCGTTACGGCTGCCACCGTCACAGCACCGGCACCACCCGCAGCTGCCGCGTATTCACCGACAAGTGCTACTGGGGCTTCGTGCCTGCTTGTGGTGTCTGAGGGTGACGCAGCAGTCGGCATCAACATCATTGGTGATGGCTCATGTAGCGCGGGTGGCATCGGTTGCATCGATGATGTGTGTCGGTTCTGCCGAGTGAGAACCACGGTGCAGTCGGCAGCGTTCACCGACTGCAACAGCATTACCGGCACCACTGCTTTCACTGCAACAGAGTCTCCTCCTGTAGCCCCCACGGACGCGCCCACAGCGGACGCCCCAACGGATGCGCCTACCGATGCCCCGACAGAGCTACCGACCAATGCACCGGCAGAGCTTCTGACTGAGCCTCCGACCGAGGCACCGGCATCCAGCAGCACGTGCCAGCAGCTAGCAGCAGAAGGAGACATTTTGGCCGGCATCACCATCGTCACCGACACTTCCTGTGCCACCGGCGGCATTGGCTGCATCAGCGACGTGTGCCGCTACTGCCGCACTGTGTACACGAGTCAGTCGGCGTCGTTCACGGACTGCGGCGTCATTCTTGGCACGGTTGCCACGGATGCACCGACCGATGCGCCGATGGATGCGTCAACCGTCACCGCGACCGATGCTCCAACTGATGCTCCAACCGATGCGCCCACGGACGCCCCCACTGATGCCCCTGCTGATCAGCCCGTATGCACTAAGGTCGTCTCGTCGGGCGATGCGTCGGTCGGCATTAACATCGTCACGGATGCTTCGTGCGTGAACGGCGGTGCCGGTTGCATCGACGATATTTGCCGCTTCTGTAAGGTGTTGACCACGGTTCAGTCGACGACATTCGTGGACTGCACGTCCATTACCGGGTACTCGACCAACGTGATCACCACGGCGGATACTGTCGTCACCGAGGCCCCGACCGCCGTCCCGACGGATGCCCCCACGGATGCGCCTACCGATGCCCCAACTGACGCTCCTACCGATGCGACCGATGCTCCTACCGAAGCCCCCTCTGATGCTCCAACGGATGCCCCCACTGAGACGCCAACACCCGTGGAAGTGTAGATCAACCAGAATCCGATCATTCATCCACACGTACGTACGTAACCACTTCCAGGAAGGCACTTTTATCTCGTAAGGGAGGAGCTGGCGCTTACGAGCCAGCTATCCCTCTCCTAAGTTGCTAAAAACAAGCATGCAGAACTTGTTTGACCCGAGTCTGAATTATCGATTCCTAAAAAAATTGTACTCGAAAATCCTCCTTTATCGGAAATACCCGTTGAGTTCATTGTGAAAACGTAGAAATCTTCAAGCATTTTTCATATTTTTAGCACGTTCTCAGCTGTATCGCGGGCTACCGTGCACGGTTCCGCCGTTCGATACGCAGCAGTTTCCGCAGGAGCCCACACACGAGATGTACCCCAAATTAATCTGGGGGCTGAAACGATAAGGAGCGATCTGGCAACTTGCGCCGAGACTTTACGAAACTGCGCCGATATATCATGTCGGTTTTCCCTTTTACCGTGTCGCGACATGTGCTGGTGCACAAAGCACGTTGAAGTTGTCGAAATATATACGAGAGCACTGTGCAGCCACTCGAGTTGCTCGAATCGACCAAGGAACTCGCGAGTCGCATGATGAAAACAGCAAGTTCAAGCCTAGATAATTCCATTATGCTGCCAGCTATTATCAGCGGTGGGATGCTCCAGGATCTTTACTTCACCAACAGCGGACGAAGAGTTCAAGCCATTCCTCAATTCGCGCCAAACAACTACTACAACTTCTTCACCCGCTACCCGATCTTCGACAACCATGGTGTACTCTCCTACCTACATCAAGATTATCGCTCTTGGAGCCATGATCATAACTGCTATACCTGCATCCACGGCTCAGTACGAAGCTTCCGACATCACGTGCGCAGTTTCCGCAGGCGACCAGAGCGTCGGCATTCGAGCCGTCGATGATTCCAGCTGTGCTGAGGGCGGACTCGGTTGCTACAGCGACCACTGCCGCTACTGCAAGATCCTCGACACGCCCAAGTCCTCGCACTTGGAGAACTGCACCTCACTCGGGGCTGACTTCCCCACCATGGCACCGCTGGCGGTCTCCAGTGGTCCCTGCGAAGTCTCTGAGGGCGACGCAGCTGCTGGTGTCGCGGCCGTAGTCGATGCGGACTGCTTGTTCGGCGGCCTTGGCTGCTTCAGCGACCACTGCAGGTTCTGCAAGGTGGAGGAGACGGAGCAGTCGACTGCGTTCCTGAACTGCACCGACTTCAACGCGACTGACCCCGTGACTCCCGTGGCGACGGACGCTGCGCCGACTGCTACAACTCCGACTCCGGTCGTCACAGACGCGTCGGTGGGTGATGCAACATGTGCGCTTGTTGTTTCGTCCGGCGACGCAGAGGTCGGCATCAACATCGTCAGCGATGCCTCGTGCAGCTCGGGTGGTGTCGGTTGCATCGACAGCGTGTGCCGATTCTGCCGAGTGTGGACGACGTCGCAGTCGGCGGCTTTCGTGAGCTGCGACGGATACACGACCACCACCGCCCCTTAGTTAGCGGCCGCTCTGAAGGCAACCGCCGATGATCGAGAAGAGTGCGGTAGAATCACCAATAACCCTCCCTAGCTTGGAAAATGCATATTTTCATAATGACATGAAAACGTGAAGCACACCGCCATTCATGCAAATTGTACTGGCAGTAGGCTGCTTCCAGGGTGCGGTCTTGCAGTTGCCGTCTTCACGCAGGATAGATCGACTTGCACCGCCTCAGCAAATGCGGGATCGTGATGATAATCCCGGATACGCGAATATACTTGTCCAGAGTCCAGGGGGTGACGATATCCAGGTCTACTTACAAGTGAACGAGACTGGCCACTGTAGTTCACAAGTACCCAAGCGAGACCACGCGCTCGGCGATATGGGGCCATCCATTTCTCGAAGCATTCACCCTGGTTTCTGATCTTCAGGCTTTCTAGAGAAAGTTTCCACTCTCCACTCTTGCCTGAACGTGCCGATGCTCCTTTGCTGCGTAATCGCGATACGCTGCAGCTTGCTGATCTGCCCCTTTAACGTGTCGATCTCCTCCTCCAGCGTACCAATCCTTCCATTCAGCGTATCGAGCTTATCCTCCAGCGTACGGATCCTCCCAGTCCGCGTACCGATCTCCTCCTCGTCCTGAAGCCTGGCCTCCACTCTGTCAAAACGCTCCATCACATCCTGCATAGTTGGAGACGCGGCCTGGGGGGCTGGTGCTGGTGTTGGCCAAGTACTTCGAAGTAAGCACTAAGGTTGAAAGAAAGCTGGATGGTTGGCTTCCGACGACTTCAGTACGTACTGACTGATTGACTGACTGGCACTGGCCATAGCATGCCAACCCAACAACGTCACAAACTACGGCATGTAAAATGTATTGACGAACGTAAGTTACCTTAGCGAAATTTACGCCCGCGGACGTACGCCAACGCGCGGCGGTCTAGTCGTTTGGTTTTCTGGATCGACACGGCACTTGACGGCGCCGGTTGGTGGTTGTACTCTGCGATTGAGTGATGCATCGACACTGGGTTGCAAGAAAGCTCCTCCTCGTCTTCACCGATTCCAACCTAAATGTATAGAAACAAGCAGGTCTGGGTTAGCCAGACTTCAATAAGATATCACGTCAGTATCGGCAATCGCACCCATTCATCGTCGGTGGTGGCCATGACATGAAGCGAGTAAAGCGCAAGGGCCAGTTGAAGCCACTGCACCACCAGCTCAGAACCCAAAAACACGGCAAGCAGGCACTACAGAAATCATAAAATAAAAAAGAGGTTGGTTACTGCGATAATAACGACAAAAAGAAAAAGGCCACACACATACCTGTGTCGCCAACGATAGGAAGAAAATGGGACTGCATAGGTTGCTCGTCTTCAAAGCAGAGATGATGAATGATGTAAGCAGTAGCTCCGCACCTGGACAACCATAACAGGGTTAGTAAAATCTTACGCGCAAAAGTAACTTCATGCATCGTACCGTTGAGATCCAAGAGGAAACTGTGGTGGGAAATGCCCTCCACCAGAAAGACCAGCGGCAGAATTACCCGGAATGTTGTCACCATCGCCGTGGGTCCGTTCGTGCAGAATAGCTGGACGAGGAAAGCATACCAAAGGCAAACCGGCGCCCAGGGAGGAGCCCACGGGAATACATACTGCACCAGGAAAGGGAATCCGTAAAGGAATGCGAAGCAGAATCCAATGTGACGATGCGTCAGGATCGCACGGAACGCCACCCGGTGGATATGGATAAACCACGACGTTGCGTGCAACGAGAGGAGTAGCAGCACGCTGAAGACCACTGCGAGCACCGACTCCACGTACGAGAATGAAGTGGCGAGCAGCCCCTTGATGTTCAAGCGGCCAGCAGCCCAGGCACAGCCACGTCGGGTTTCATGAAAAGCAACTAGTCCAGCTGAAGCTGCAGCCGAGCCTCCCTTGCGCAGCCCCTGCCGGATCCGAGCAGATAGCGGGGGGCCTCGAGTGGCTAGATCTTCCAGTATCTTGTCTTGCGATTCACTCGAGGAGCCACCAACTGTATCAGCAGCTTTGGAAATCAATGACGCTCCCTTCTTGTCCTTCTTGCCCCGAGTCGGTTTCTTCTTCTCCGCCTTATCCTTCTTCGATTTCTCCTTGCGATGCTCCTTCGCAGCATGCTTCTTTTCCACAAGAGGCGCTGAAACCGGTTCGTGCGTGCTAAGAAGCTCGGTCTCAATTTGAGGGGTAGCTGGGCTGCTATCAGCACTAGCGGCAGTCGTAGCGGCAGGTTTACGCTTCGACTTCTTGGAATGTGTCGCCGGTAGCTCTCGTGCGGAAGCCGGGACTTGTACTGCATCATCCTCAGAGCTCTCGACTGGCGACAATATTTCCTCCGATTCTGGTGCGTCTACGACGCTCTCCTGGTGCGAGTCGCTTTGCTCGTTCACTGCATCCTGCGCGTCGTCGGGCACGTCACTCGACGAAGATGATTCACGCTCAGTGCTGGTTGCTGCTTCATCTGGTGGTGTTTGACGAGACTGGCCAACCGTTTCAGGCAAACTTGCACTCTGACCAATGCTCGCATTCTTCACATCACCGGGAGTCCCACTTTCCACACCATCACCGTGCTCGATTGCCGACCGAATCTTGGTCGTAGTAGCTACTTCAGCATCAGCCTTGGTGCTCACATCATTAGACTTCGCGGCCTGGGGCACAGCAGCAGACTTGACCGGAGAAGTGGTAACATTCTTCGCACTTTGGGCGATGCTCGACTTTTTCTCGGAAGTCTGTGCCTCAGACTTCGCGCTGTTCGCACTCGCTTGGCTTCTCTGAGGCGACTGTGATGCTGCACTTGAGGCTGGAGCGATATCTTCAGGTGACGACGCCTCCTTCATGCTCTCCTTCACCTGCTTTTCGCGATACACCTGACGGCGAGTTGTGCTCGGTCCCTTGTCATTTCCTCGCGTGGAATTTCTTCTGGAAGTGGTGTTGCGATTCGATGGCTTGCTCTCCTCCCTGCGCCTCGGCTTGCCAGCCTCTCGTGGGGGCACCTTCACAGGGCTACCTTCCGTCTCCAAACCTGGAGGGGGGCCACGGGTAGGGGTCGGCTCTTCGGTTTGATTTGCAGCTCCCTTCCTCCAATTGTCACTTCCAGCAGAATATCCAGCAGCTGCTGCGAGTTTTTCCGCCTGGTTGCGGCGCTTGCCCCTTGGCGCAGATTGATCACGACTGGTCTCAACTGTCGAAGGAGAATTCTCATACCCAGTCGCGGGGGACGCCATCTTCCGCCCTCGTTCCGTTCGCTTCGGCCTCATTGGCGATCCCGGAGTGAAAGCACTGATCGCGTCCATGCTAAACTCCAAGGCCTTCGCGCGTAAATCGGATCTGCTCTCCGATTTCCTCCTGGCATCCCGCGACTTCTTCGGGCTCCTCGGCGTCTTGGACCTCGCTTGGATATCAATTCGTCTCGACGTCGTGGGCTCTCGGTTCTCCCAGGGCGCCGACGGCGAGTCGACCGCATGTCGGATCCGCGTCCCGTCCATCTCGCCCACTTTCATCGAGTGTGTGTTCAGCTCCGCCAGATCCGGGTTCGACACGCCACGCGCCTCGTTGTCTCCGAACACACCGGACGACAGCCTCAAGCTCGACAGTAAACTAGGCCCGTACTGGTCTTCACCGCTCGAAAAGGTCCTCGTATGGTTCGCCCCACCTGCCGCCATGGGGGAAGAAGACGCCGATGGATGGAAAGGTCCGAACTGACGCTGCTGCATCATGTTCCCGCCTGCACTGCCCAACCGCATACGCGGCTGCATCCCGTCCATCGCACTGGGTTCACTGAGTCCTGGTGGGCCTGATAGTCCGGGCGGTCGCTGTAACACGCGTCGTGGTTGTGACACATCCGTGGCGGAGGAGGGCCACGTCCTCATGGAGCCTCCTCCTCCGCCAAAGGGGCTGTCGGTGTCTGCCGCCCCTAAATACGAGGGCAAGTTGGAGGTCCTGGCTGGATAGAGCTGCTGCGCTTCAGTGCCATAAGGGGACGACGCCGCGCCCAAGCTCCTCCTGCCCTCTCCCTGCATGGTGAAGCTCTTGGCCGCGGCCTGGCCTCTGTCGAACATGGAGGAGGTCGGGGATCTGATGGCCCCAGCGCCTCCAATTGCCCCTCCGTCGCCCAGTCCAGGGCCGAAAGGTCCCGGGAAGCCAAAGGGGCGACTGGCAGTCGGCGTGGAGCCTCCAGCGTCCCCGAAATCCCGCGAAGCTCGCGGCGTGTGGATCTCCCCTCCCAGGTCGGAGAGCAAGAAGTTGGTGGGGCGTGAGGGGGCCGAAGAGTCCCCAGAGGCGCCAAACGGCGGTGGCTCCAGCGTCGGACGCGGCCGCGTGTGTAGTCCACTGAACTCCACGTCACTCCTCGAGTTCGAGGACCCTGAAGCTGCGGAGACCGAGGCTGCACTCGCAGAAGACGCGGCTGTCGATTGGCTGCTGGTCGATGCAGCGAAGCGGCCGCCGATGGGGCCGAAACTCGCCTTGATGCGGCTGCAAAGTGCGTAGGATATGGCGTTAGTAAATCGGCGATTGCGAGGGCGATACGGGGAGTCTGGAGCTGGGAGAGGCGCGGATAGAGAGAGCAGACGCACCTCTGCTTGGGCGGCGAGTCGTCCGCGATGCCGTTGGGCAGGAAGTACGCCATGGCCGGCTCGTCGTCGCCGTCCATGGCCGCTCGCGATCCTTTTTGTCTGCCAACTTGTGGACTGGCTGGCTATACAGTCACAGAAACCGCTGCGTGTTGCGCGAAGGTAGGAGGTTGCGCGAAGGTGATATAAATGGTGTAACTCACACCAAAGATGTTAAGCACGTTGAAGTTGCCTTCAACTTCAATTAGTTGTCCTCGTGGACGCTCGCCTGTTGTTTCAAGTTGTTGTTTATTTCGTTTTGAGTTGATAGAGTTTGGAGCCGTCCTCTCCTCGCCTACAGCGCCTTGCAACCTCCAGCGCCACGGTTCAAAGGGGTGGAGACCCGAGCGGAATGGGAAGTGGGCTGTTCGTTCGTTCGCTCTTCAGGCTGGATCTTCCTTGGTCCTGAAGATGCTGGGTCTTGTGTGGGTGGGGAGTGGAGGTGGACCGCTGGCAGGAGGCAGGGCGTGTGGGGGACCGATTACAACACCATACAAATACCCCCGAGGAGATGACGGCAGCGAGGCCACGGGCTGAGTGAAGCCCGCGCGCCTCCTTGTTGTTTGTGCAGAACAGAAACCTCTTGTTGACCAGGAGATCGTTCATCAGTTGCCAGGGCACTTGTCCTGCGAATTTGTGGCAAGGTGCGGAGTCGGGCTAGAGAGAGCAGAGAACAGTGAGCTTGCCGCATGAGACCGAGGCTCTGAAAAGATTCCGGGAACGTACCAAACTAAATAGCTTGGCTCGTCTTCAACCTCCGAGTCTTCATCGATTGCCATTCGAGACACTTCCAAATCGAGCTGATCAATTTCCACTGTAGAGGAAACGGACATTGCGATGAGCATACGAAATCGATTTACTAACGCGAGAAGAGGCAAGCTCTATGTACCTGGAACAACCGGCCGAAAGCCCGCGTGCTGAGAGGAAGAGCGCATCTGGCGGCGAATCCGCTCTTGGTCAACGGGTGAGCACTCAGTAAAGTTGTGTTTCGTGCTGGGCACTTCGGCTTCCTGGTCTAGCGAGACCTCCGTTCGGCACAGTGGGCAGGACGTATGATTCCACAGCCACTTGTCCACACAACACGCACTGCACATGACGGTCAGTAAGAAAGTCGAGTGTCGGAGAGATACTGACAGAGATACGAACGTACTGGAAGAAGTGCTGGCATGGAAGCGTCACGATGTGATCGCCAATACCATAGCGAAGCTGGCAAATTGTGCATTCCTTGTTGGTTTCGTTAGCTGTACCCAAAGCCAGCGGGAGTTGGTATCGGACCTCGATGGGCAGACCCCTGGTGGACAAAGTCACAATGATGTTAGCCGCCATCACATATAGGAGCAGCACCATCGCAATATCAAAAACGCACTTTTCTTCGATCATGGGGCTAAAGCACTGGAACTCGGGACTGCTGCTGAGATCGTAGTCCTCCACTAATATTTGGCGGTACAATTCTTCCTTCGCCAGCTTGCTATCACAGCCTCGCTCGGTCTTCTCCGCGCTGTAGTACAAGCAGCAAATCATTTCGTTAGCAAACAAGCCACATCCTGCACTGGAAACGCTGCGAGCCACCCACCAGAAAGACTGGTCCATCGACGATAATTGACTAAGCTCATCATCACTACTGCTACTGTACAATAGAAAATTCACCACGGAAAGTCGTCAGCCCGACAGAGCACAGGTACAGCGCTCCACTGATCATCCACTCACCTTGAACCTGGACTCACAGCTCCGTCTCTGGGCTTGACCACCGAGTCATAATGCCAGCCAAACTCCTTGCTTTCCAGCAGATCTCCATCGAAACAGCCTTCGATCGAGCGCTTCCTGGCATTACTCTGCTCCATCTTGCGTTTCCTGATGCAATCTTGCAGCACAGCACGGGCGCAGTTCACCAGAGGGTCCACACTAGAGAACGATTGCGAACTGAACGATGAGGTCGTCGAAGCAGTTGACGCCGCGGAAGGCGAAGTTGGCGGGAATACCGGCTTGCTGCGCCTCGAGAAGTTCCCGTCAAAGTCAAACACCACAGGCTTCGCGGCAGGAAACTTCTCCACCTTCTCATACCTCGACGACGTAAAACTCGAGCTTCCACGTGAAGAATTCCGACTTGTGGGCTTGGACTGCTGCGGCGAGAATGCGAACGCACTGGCACCAGCATCCGGGGCTCTCATTTCTGTGTCTTCGTTCACATCCGGTAGAAAATGTGTACTTCTTGTGGCCATCACTCGTGTGCTGGCTCGACTAGCGGACAGCATAGACGACGACAAGCTCTTGGCGCTCCTCCGTTCTTTCCTGGCTGCCGGACGCTTGCTCTTTCCGACAGACCACGAGAGCTCCGTCGACGCCGCGCGTTTGTCCTCGCGTGACGAGAACGAAAATGTTGACGAGGCCGAGGATGCCCCCAACGAGGCTTTCTTGGTGGGGCCATCCCGTAGTCCGCGACTGGAGAACGATGACGACGATGACGATGACGATGACGATGACGGGGTCTTCTTCTTGGAGGGCACCGTCGACGTCCGCGTGGTGCGAGACGTCGACGAGGCTGTAGCGGAGAAAAATTTAGGAGAAGACGAGCTCCCCCCAGCGTCAGGGGAGATTGACCAGGCCAGAGAAGAGGAGGAAGTAGAACTGTTCTCCTCCCTGGGGGTCCGGGTGGTGCGCTTCTGCCACCGCATCCCGTTACTGGGGGACGCGGCGGCCGGCTTACTATGACTACTGCTATTGTGGTGGCTGCTCGCGTCGTAGAGCGAGCCTACATGGCTGCTGGAGGCCGTACTACCGCTTTTGCCGTGCGTCCAGCGCCACCATAGCCCCTCCTTCGACTTGGAGGACGCGCGCGAGCCATCGGCGGCCTTGGACTCCATGCGCGCTGGCTCGCTTGGCTCCTGCTTGAGGTGGAGCGACTTATTGCACGTCAGTTTTCGGTATAAATAATACCAGGTCTTCTTTGTTGGAGAACGGAAGCAACTCACCGATTCCGTTGTCGAGCTCGAACGTCAATGCGTAAAATTACGGTACAATTCTGCGCGCCACAAAGCACCACTTGTTAGTCTGGCGTGGAGGCGTAAATTATCGTTTCCGGGCGTAAATTACGGGACGCACGTACACGGAAGCTCACGCTTAGAGACGAGTCGGCATCGAGAGGCGCGACGGACGGGGACGGAGATGGAAAAGGGATCGAGGCGGGGGCTGGTGTGTGGGGGTGTGGGGCGGCTAGCTGCTCCTTGAGGCGCTCGGCTGCTCGCGAGCGAGTATTTTTACGCACGCCGCTGCTTCTTGGCTTGTGTGCAGAGGCGCGGGGGTTAGCCGCGGTTTGGTCCGGTTTGGTCCCGGAGAAGGACCAAAATTGCGGCGCGCAGATCGCAATTGCCAATGGTGTGTTTATACTCCAACAAGCTATAGCCTATATAAAACGATGGTACGTCAAATCTGTTTAGAGAGGAAATTGGTAAGAGTTATATTTTTATTACCTTGAGTAATCGATACCCTGTTGTAGTAGATGATGCCCCAGAACATTTGGGCCGACTTTGTCGCACACGACGGCGCCACGGTTTCGAATGTCGCGGCAATTTCATTGCAAAGGACCACATGTAGTTCGGCATACAAAACGCAGGTCAGGCAGTTGGAAGATATGCGCGGGGACAACAACTCGCAACCGCTACACTGCAAGAGCAACGCCCTCACGCCGAGACCATCTCAGACCCAGGTTTCGCCTTCACTTGCCTTGGTGCAGTTCCATTACAGCGGGAAAAGGGAAGGGGGTTGACGCCGGCGCAGCTCTGGCCTCCAGCCAGCCAACATGGCTGCGGAGCAGAGCAAGAACCAGACACTTCAATGCTGCGGGCAGAGGCTGTGGATTTGTGCCCAACGGAGGGTTCACATCGCGCACGTCCAAAAGTACACTTGAAGGTTTCCTGGTTTTGTGTACCAGGCGAATTTTTTGATAAGGATATCGCTCCGAGGCCCTACTTTCCCAGCGCTCGGGCGTCGTCGTCGTAGAATGAATAAAATGGTGATAGTGTGTGTACCGGTACCTGGGCCCCAAAGACTCCGCCAGGTGGAAAATGTATCTCTTAGGCCACTCGGGCCAGCTCCTAGGGCTGCCACAAGTTGTCCTTGCTGCTCTTCTTGGCCGCGCGAGGGGGCGACGCCATGGCCACGCCAGTGAGCTCGATCTCCTCGTCACCCGAGTACACGCTGCTGGCCGCGCTCCTGGCCTTCCGCTCGTCATCCGAGAGCCCGTACCGCTGCAGCTCATCGCCGTGAATGAAGATGGGCTCGGCCGCCATACTCACGTCCGAGATGAAGCTCTCAGCGTTGGAGCCGCCGCGACTCGCCGCTCGTCGGCTCGAGTGCGGGCTCTCGAAGGCGCTCGAGCCCACCGACAGCTCACTCTCCGCCAGCGGACGGCGCGCCGACAAGTTGCGCGGCTCGCTGCGGTGCTTGCGCAGCTTCTGCTGGTAGGCATCGGCCGCGTCCTCCTCTTCCTGGCGATGGCGCCGTTGCCTCTCCTCGATCGACTCCTGGAGGGGCATCGACTTGAACTTGCCACTCTCCACCTTCTGCTCCATGTTTGATTGGGTCGGCTTCTTCACCTTGGACTGCCTCTCGGGCAAGTAGTCGTTGAAGGCGTCGTAGGCGTCGTACGAGTCGTTCTGGTGGCGGCTGCGTTGCTTCTGGCGCTGGGGCCTCTGCTGCTGCTGCTGTTGGGTTGCAGCAGGCGCTCTCGTGCTTGATCGCGGAGGCGGTGCCTGCCGCAGTGACGACGGCCCCTGGCTCGGTCTCGACGGCGGCACATGCATGCTCTGAGTCATATCCGGGTCCCCCGCAAAGCTAGGCGTCATCCAGCTGTTCTTGCGCATGTGCGCGGGGCCCCTGATGCTGGCCAAGTTGTGCTCGGCGAAGGCTTCGACCCTGACGGACTCGCGGAGGGAGTTGATGTCTGCGTCGGCCGACAGGTCGTCGCCTTCCAGCACAAAGTTGCGCACCACATCGAACGCGTAGCCTCCGCACGTGGGGCACTTGGGCGTCTTGGAGAAGGCCCACGAGGCCAGCAGGTTGAGGAACGAGCGCAGCGCCTTGACGCGGTAGTTGACCACAGGCGGCGCGCGCGACGCGAAGAGGTGCTTCTTGGGGAAGTCGAAGCGCTGGATCGAGTGCAGGTAGTTGCGGCAGCCCGGGCACTTGTCCGTGGACGTGGACAGGAACTTGACGAGCTGGTCGCGCAGCTTGAGGAACTCCGAGTAGCGGTGGCTCACCTCCCACGTCTGGCCCGTGGACGTGAAGCGCCCCGCGATGCGGTAGTACGTCACGCCGCGGTGGGTCGTGGCCGAGAGCAGCCACAGGCGCAGCTCGCGGCCGTTCGGATCGCTCTGGTTCATGAGCGACATGCTCATGCGCGTGGCCGGCTGGCTCTCCCTCATTGAGCGTTTGCAGTGTAGTGTGGTGGGGCGACCGTGTGATGAAAAAATGGAAGTGCCTGCCTTCCCCTCCTGCGCGCGTTTTGTCTACTGAGGCGAACGTGAGGAATTCCGCTTTTTGGCGGAGATGCGATGAAAAAACCGACTTCCTGCGAGTTACCGCACTTGATGGCTGGAAACCGATACCTTGCACATTCTATTTCGATGATTGAGCCGTTAGTATCGTACATTACCTCTGGAAATCCATTGAATTTGAATCTCTAATGCGTACCGTTACCCAGAAATTGTGGTACAAACGGCTAATCCATGCAACCACAATCCCGATGAGCAGATAGACGCAGCGCTCGACGAACGCGGTCCGAATCATTAACCTGTCCAGAAATCTGCGCCCCATGCTGGCCGATCCACCGCAACGCCACAGGCTCCGCATTGTTATCGCCGGCTCGGCAACATCGGGACCGACACCTAGGAAACCGAGCGCATTGGCCGCACCGAAATACCGTAGCAACACTGCTGCTCCCCATCAATCCCACGAGTGAATATTGAAATTTTCGCGGCGAAAGCGTGTACCAGGGCGAGTCCATGCGCGGATCCCTTCGAGAAATCGAGATACATCGGCCACGTGGCGTCACGCAAACTGCAACACTGGCACCACCTGCTCCGCGCCACAGCTGCACTGTCGGCTTCAGTGTCCGACGCCCAGGGCTGCAGTACATGCACATGGACTCCGCTCCGCGCTGCTCACTCGACGATGACACGCAGAAATACAGCTGGTGCTTAGATTCAATTACACTCGAACACTCACTTCAACTTGGCTATTTCGCGGCAAGTTGCAGTCTTGACCATCTGTCAATCGCCTCTCAGAGTCGGGCCCGCTTCACGGTCTCCACGAGTCCGTCGGCGACCTCCTCGGCGAACTGCGTGTCAATGCCGTGGCCGCCGTTCTTGAAGAAGAAGGCGCGCACCTGGTCGCCCGGCAGGAGCTGCAGCAGCTTGACGGACTCCTCCGGAGGGATCAGGATGTCCTGCATGCTGCCGACGACCAGCACGGGGAAGCCCGCCTGCGCGATGATCTCGAGCCGCTCGTCCGAGACGTAGTGGGTCTGCACGGCCAGGCCCTGGCACAGCAGCGCCTTGTAGCCCGCCGGCTTGTGGCGGTTCGGCAGCGTCGAGTAGTGCCGCTCGAGCACGCTGCGCACGTCCTGATGGTCGCCGACCGGTCGGTCGAGGAAGTCGGGCGGGTAGTTGAGCGACACGGTGTTCTTGACGACTCCCGTCTGCGTGGGCGAGAAGATGGCGCCTAGCAATGGGATCATCGATCGCATATCGGGGATGTACCTGCCTCGAGTGCTCACCAACAGCGACAACGACTCCACGCGCTCCGGGGCCGCACAAGCCAACTCGATGGAGATCATGCCGCCCATGCTGCAGAAGATGTGTAAACTCCAGTGTCAGATATGATATCGCTTAGCTCTATACAATGTTTACAACAGCTCACCTGATGCCGACGAAGTGTGCTGATTTCCATCTGAGATGGTCCAGCAGACTCAGCGCGTCCTCCGCCATTTGGCTGGTCGTGTATCTCCCCAACGGCGCGTCGGTGCCGCCCACCCCGCGGTTGTCGAAGGTCAAGACGGTCAAGTTCCTGCCCTGCTTCTTGGCGTCCCATTTCTTCATGAGCATGTCGATCACGGGCCCCCACAGCTCCTTCAACTGCAGGAAACCCATGATCAGCACCAACCGCTCTTCAGGCAGATTCCGGCACGCGGGGGTCTTCGCATCCGCGTTGGTCTCCAGCATGTACTCCATCTTGATGCCTGTCGCCACGTTAGCCGTGTGCACGTACTCCCCCGCGAAGTGCTTGGGTGTCGAGAGCAGCGCCTCCATGTGTCGACCCGAGGTGAACCCCGGCGACCCGATGAGCGGGATTTCCATCGGGACCTTCATGGTGACTGTGACGCGGACAATTTCGTAGTGCTCTCCTATTGCGAGGGCCTTGGTGGCGGCAGGCAGGCAGGCAGGCAGGCAGGCTGCCGCGCGTGCGTGGCGCAGCGACGAAGTGGCGAAGTGCAAGATCAGTTGGCGGTCGTGGACGAATACCTTGGCAGGAGCGCCATGTGTTGGGCATGGACCTAACAAACGAGACGCTTGTCGAAAGGGGATCGCAATGGACACCATCGGATTGCTGTGACGGCAAAGTAATTGGCATGTGAGTTTGTGTATGCAAGGCTCAAGGCTCCGTTCCTATTCATGTGCACATTCAGCAGCTTGAATCGTCTTGATAACATCCTCAGCAACCTCGTCGAGATACTGGATGAAGGCTCCGTGACCTGCATCCTCGTACACAACCATCCTGGAATGGTCACTGGCCAGCAAGTTGTAGAGTGTTTGAGTCTCTCGAGCTGGAATTACCATGTCTTTCGACCCACCAAGCACAAGGATCGGGAAGTCGTGATCGCGGATTTCGCGTAGACGTTCGTCCGAGACGATGTGAGAGAGCACGGCTGACCCCTGACCAACGAAACCAAAAACCCGCGGGGCTTCTCGGTTCTCCACGAGGTACTTGTGGCACTCGAACATCGCCTCGTAGATGCTGCGCGACTCGATCTCCATCTCCTGCGAAAGGAATTTGGGCGGATACAGCACCACGAGCAGGTTGTGAGTCTCTGTGTCAACGTCGCTGTGATCGAGTGTCCTGGTCATGGGGAGCACTCCATTGCAAGCTGGGATGTACCGGCCTCGCGTCGTGCAAAGTAACGATAGTGACTTGATACGTTCGGGCGTCATGTGAGCCAGCTCGAGCGAGATCATTCCGCCCATGCTGTATCCGACAACATGAACCTGCTCCCAGCCGACGTGATCCAGCAGAGCGAGCGCGTCTTCGGCCATGTTACGCGTGGTGTAGGGCCCTATGGGTGAGGTAGAGCCGCCGACACCTCGATTGTCAAATGTCAGGATCCTCAGGCGCTTGTCGGTCTCCAGTCCGTCCCATTGGCGCAGCATCGTCTCTAACGGCGGCGTCCAGGTCTCTTTCGTGTTGAGGAACCCTGTCACCAGCACTACTCGAACTTCATCCTCTCCAGATAATTCATCTTCGGGTGGCGGGTTCCACGCGAGCGGGTGTTGGTGGAGAGCGAACTCAAGTATAATGCCCGTGTGGACCCTGACGCGTCGAATGTGACTGCTGTTGAAGTGATATGGGGCCGTATAGATGACCTCTAAGTGGCGCTGCAGACGAAACCCAGATCGCTCCATCGTGTTGGTCGTGGCCGTAATGCGCTTGGCACACATTGCTGGAGGGAAGTTCGTAGATCGCTGCGGTTTCAGAAATGAACATGCAAGTAGACCCCGAGAAGAAGTTGAGGGACCCGATGATGTCATGGTGGAGAAAGACGATGTCATCTCCACTTGTTAATAGTTTGAATGTCGTGCGTGACGTCGGTGACTAGCTACGGCACCAACATTCGCCGACAAATGTATGTGGCTGCCTTTAACTAGTTGCTCTCAGTTTGATGTTAGGTCAAATGAGAGTTTAGCATTAGCAACGCAGCAACATCCCTGTGACACTGTCTGCGATTTCTTCCGGGTACTGGAGAATGATGCCGTGCCCGCCTTGCTCAAAGAAAAGCGTCTCCACGTGATCTCCTTTCAGGTGCTGACGCAGTGCCTGCATTTCACGTGGCGGAATGAGGATGTCCATAGCGCCTCCGACCAGGAGAATCGGGAAGCCAGCATCGATGATGGCCGCAAGGCGTTCATCCGAAATCCAGTGCGTACGGACAGCCAGAAATTGGTTGATCGTCCCGAGCAAACCCGGCTTCACCCGTGCCTTGGCTCGTTTCTCCAGATACTCGAACACGACTTGACGCCTAGTCTGGTCCCCGAAAGACATCGGCTGGTCCAAGTAAACGTCACTGTAGAGCAGCTTCAGCTGGGCCTTGGCGACAGCATCGGGGTCGGTAGCATCCATGGTCTCCTTCATGGGTCCCTTGGAGCGAGGATCCTCAACGAACCTCCCTCGAGTTGTTACAATTAGCGTGAGTGACTTCACTCGCTTTGGAGCTGCCAATGCTAGCTCCATCGAGATCATGCCGCCCATACTGATTCCCACCACGTGAGCAGACTCCCAGTTGAGATAATCCATCAATGCCAACGCATCTTGTGCCATTCCACTGGTAGTATAACGCCACAAGGGCACGTCCGACACTGTCAGTCCTGCAACGGAATTACAATTCGACGATATTTTCATCCGTTGCTTGAGCCATAAACGGAACAATATAACAATAATGTGTACGAAACATAACGAACATAAATGAATTACGAATATAATAATTAATTTTAGTAGTATTGTAACAGTCAATGTGAGTTCAATTTTAATTTTTTATATTACAGCAGGGCTTCGCGCTAAGCTGCTGTAGTTGTCACCTTATAATAGGGCTACGCTTTGGTTGAGACAGCACAAGAGTGGGTTACATGCATTAATAGGAGGATGGAACGACAAGCGTATATACAAATTATGGGATACGATGTCAATACTGCCCATTATAGCACCCTCGCAGTAGGCCGTCACAACACAGGTCGTTGAGATCCAGCTCCGATGGTCCCGGTTCAGAGTCGAGTACTCCAGTATCTAGGGTGCGCGTAGTACAATGTAGTAGCTTCAGAATTCATATATGTTTATGGAAACAAGTTAGTGCGGTTGTATAGTACATTTTTGCGCAATTACCACGGTCACCTATGCAGTCCGAGAAAGAATCGGAGTGGCTGTGTCCTTCATGACATTCCGTACTAGTATTCCCCATCACAGCTACTGCTAATAACGAAGACGGTTGCGACGCATTCTATAACCAGCCTTTCAACGAGCGGTATAATGTTCGCCATCACATCGTATACGACTGATGTCACTTTTGAAATGAATTAAGCGTTGGATTGGTAAGCGCGGTGACGTACCACAAGGCATCAACGGGAGGGTATCCACGGCGCGGCGGTGTCTCATGTGCGCTGACTCACTAACGGACGGCATGCTTCTCAACAACAGTGCGCTCCGATGATCGGTGGCGGAGGCGGTTATTTTGGCAGGACTCCTTACTTACCCACGCGGTGGCGGGGCTTGTCTGCGTAATGACAATTTGTTAGGACGTGCGCCAGGTAAACCTTGAATACTTGTTATCACTTGGAACAACCAAGTGTACCATGAAAAATATATGTAACTTAAGGCATTGTGTATCCAGACATGGTTTGTGTAACCTGCCTCACTTACACCATAGAGGTGCGATTCGAAATACTACGGTAGTTTTCCCCACTTCGCAGACTACATCTGATTAGTAAGTGTACGGTAACGGTTGTCATGAGAGTCTCGTTACTGCAACGGAAGCACAATCAAACGAAAGTATCTCCGTTGCTTCAGCACCTGTTGGGCAACGGAATGCTTAATGTAATAGAGTAGCAATTTCGAGTGTATTATTGGTTAGTTGGTTGTGAAGAACACAAAAGACAAGAAGCAGAGGCAAAGACGACCAACAGACACGTCGACGCCACCAAGACTAGCAACAGCAAGACTGCCCGCGGCACCAAGTGCAGCAGCCCAACTGGTCAGCAGCGCAGAGGAGGAACCAACGCCGGCGTCGGGATGCCCAGGCCTACAGTAGCAACAGACACGCCGACTGGATGAAGGTCAGCACCGGCACCAACACCACGCTCAACACGAGTTCCAGTAGCCGAAGCCAGTACTTGTAAGGCCACTGTCGGCAGAAGCACCAAGTTTAGCAGTAAATTACGTGTAGTACGCAGACAAGTGCCGCACCTGAATGAGCAACACCTACGTTGAGCCAGGGTGGCCATAAATGCGCTCGCCATCAGCCGAATCCCCAAGGCCTGGATAAGCAAGATCCAAGCCGATACTGTGACCTTCATCACTAGACGGCTGACGAAAGGGAAAATTGCATGCAGCGAGACCGGATGAAGCTGTGAGTCCGGCTTCACGAGGCAAAAGTACCAAGCAGACGCATGTCCACACTGCGTGAATACAAAAACACGCGTGTAAAGCCCGCAAATATGCTAAAAAAAAATGTATAGTTTACTCCTGTAAAGTTAAACCCATGCACCAAAGTCTTCTTTGATCTTCTTCTTGATCGTCTCGGCTACTGGCTCACTACTTCGCTCCTTCG